CCCAGGAAATCTGCTTTGCAGGCCAAACTGGATGCAACCAGCAGACTCCTCCACAGGGCATGGGCTCAGCAGGGTGGGATCACCAGGAGTGAGGAGGGTTAGGCTAGTGGATCTCCAACCCTGTGTGGGGGTGATATGGCCAGGTCTACCAGGGGGATGGGGGTGATGGCCCTTATCCCAGAGCCACACAACTCAGTCTCTCCCTGTGCCTGTCTCTGACACCTCCTAAGACTGCCTAGTCCTCTTCAGGAGCTCTCCAAGAAAGTCTGCATCATGGGCTCAGTCTGGCCATAGCCAACAGACTCCCACAGGCTGGAGCTCAATAGGGTGGAGCCACAGGGAGTCAGGAGGATGGGATTAGTGCATTTCCCTAGGCTGGTGCCCTGTGGGAGGGGAGTGCTCAACCCAGAAAACATCTTTGTAAAGATGGTGTCTTTGGGCAGTGTGGGTGAGAGACTGAGTACAGGGACCTTGGTGGCTGTTCCTCAAATCCTTTCCTCGAGAACACACAACCCAGTCCTTCTCTGTGTGGCTCCAGTCCTCTCAGAGCTGCCTTCTCTCTGCCAGATCCCAGGGCAAGTGGACAAGAATGTGATTTTGTGTGTTGACCCTTTAAGAGGGCACCTGAGTTTCTAGCAGACTCCTGTCTCATCCTGGTGGACAGAATCCACACCGATTTTTACAGCCACATGTTATGAGGGCTCCTCTTCCTGGCTTTGATGCTCTGAGCTGGGTAACCTGGCATGAGGTTGAGATCCCACACTCCTCAAGGGGGACCTCTGCAGTTGAGATATGCCTCCAGATTCTCAACCTCCCTACATAGGTGCAGGGCCAGTCCTTTCCATGTCTCTGCCCTTCCTATCAGTCTCTATGTGGCTTCTTCTGTAAATCCTTGGTTATAAGACTTCTGTTCAGCTAGTCTTCAGTGGGTTATTCAGGTTGATTATTCTGTAAGTTAGTGGTAATTCTGGTTTGGTCTTGGGAAGGAGATGAGTGTAACATCCACCTACTGCATTTCTATCTTTGGAAGAATCCAGCTTTTTTTTTTTTTTTAACGTAGGATTTCTTTGGCTATGTGGGGTCTTTTGTGGTTCCATACAAATTTTGGGATTGATTTTTCTATTTCTGTGAAAAAATGCCACTGCAATTTTGATTGGGATTGCCTTGACTCTGTAGATTGCTTTAGGTAGTATGGAAATTTTTCACAATGTTAATTCTTACAATCTAAGAACAGAGAGTATCCTTTTGTTTATTTGTGTCTTCTTTAATCTCTGGCATCAGTGTCTTATAGCTTTCAATGGACAGGTTTTCACCTCCTGGGTAAAATTTATTCCTAAGTATTTTATTGTTTTTGATACAATTATAAATGGAATTGCTTCCTTGATTTTTCTTTCAGACAGTTTGTTGTTAGTGTATAGAAATAAATCTGATTTATGTTGATTTTATATCCTGCTACTTTACTGTATTCATTTATTACTTCTAACAGTCTTCTAATAGAGTCTTTAAGATGTTTTTATATATAAGCTTATGTCATATCTCATTAGTAAGACCCATCTCATTTCTTCTGGTTCTGCTTTACATTTAACTGACTCATTTATAAATGTTTATTGAGTATTTACTGTATGATATGTACTAGACACACTGAGGATAAAGTGGTGTACAAAACAGCCATACAACTCCATAAACTGTCTCCCTACTTCAAAAATCCTACTTTCCAGCTCCATCTTGCCTGGTTTCTTAAGCCAGTCCCAAGGCAAAATCCTCAATTTCCTTACCTGGTGAAATTTTATATTAAGCCAGCTTGACAGATCTAGTGGCTAAATGATAACTTTCCTGCTCCCAAATTGTATCACCATGAAGCTCCATTGTTAGCTATCAGAGCCCTGGACAGAACTAACAATCAATTCACATTGGTATAGGCATTCTGGTTGTTAAAATATTGAGATGTACCAAAATGCTGCTTCCAGGCTATACTGGAATCCCAAAAGCCATCATGTAAAAAAAACATATGGGTTTGAGCGGTAAGGAAAGGGAGGTCCTGGAAGTTAACGGGAAATTATATTCCACATGGGTCTGCAGGAAATAAAACAAGTACAAATTTAAAGAGAAAAAAATGTCTACTGTCTGCAACTGATTATGCTCTGAACTAAGGGAACTTAGTTCACTCTGTTTGAGAAGGCACAGGGCAGGTGACAATAACCAAACCCCAACAACACCTCTTCCTCCAGCCTCCCCATGATTCAGCAACCAAAGAATTAATGCCAACATAGACGGTGGCTTTAGGACCTTGTTTCAGCATTACCTGGTGGCCACTCTGATTCCATTATCCTGGTAATACCCATTCCTACATGCTCATTGCCTGAGAAGCAGAACTGGGCATGTATGTTTGGTGTGGGTAAGCCAGGCTTCCACCTACTATCTGATCTCTCCCCTACTCTGATTTCCTGTCTCCTGAAACAACTGCCTAAGAGAGAACCTTCCATCAGACCTGAAGGATTACATGTGAATTAAATACGACAGTCAAAATGTTTTCATAGATATTGAAATTATTAAAAAGGTTGACACTGTTAAATGACCTAGACATTTTTTAATGTCATTAAAATTTCAGTTTCATAAAACTTAGTGATTATACAGCATCAGAATGTTAATGGAAGAAAATTTTCACACTATGGCTGTAGTTTTTTTTTTGTTTTTGTTTCTGAATCCTCACCTGAGGATATGTTATTGACTTTTAAAGAGAGAGGAAGGTGGAGACAGAGAGAGTGAGAAAGAGAAACACTGATGTGAGAGAGAACCATTGATGGGTTGCTTCCCTATATGCCCTGACTGAGAATCAAACCCATAACCTTTTGATATACAGGATGATGCTCCCACCAACTGAACCACCTGGTCAGGTTCCCATGGACAGCATTTAATGGGAGAAATTATTGAAAGGAAAATAATATAATTGTTGGACATCTGATGAAAATTTTGCTTTTCAAATTATAATTTGGCAACTTTGTATATGTCACTTAAGTAATTTATTATAATATAGTTTAGAAAATAAAAAAGGCATTTTTAAAATTAATGATTTACATACTAATTTATGTGAACTTACCAGTTGTCATAATCTAGTGTATCTCTTGTGGACCACATATTCCATACTCTATCTGTGATTGGCCCACACTATGGGCCCAGGGGTGGCAATAGTACATTTCTCCTAATGGGAAGTACTGAAGCGAAGACTATATGTAAACAGAGAACTTGGCAGTGATGCTGCAGAAGAAATTTAAACTCTACTAAACATTGACTATTCCAAGCATGACTGGCTACATAATTTACAAGTCTCAGTGCAAAAGAAAAATGTTTTTAAAATTATTAAACATCCAAAATTATTTAAAAATTTTTAAACATTTCAAGATGGTGTCAGCTGAGCATTAAACCAAGTGTGGGGCCCCTGCAGGAATGGAGCGTTGGGTAACTGCACAGGTGCCATATCCAGGAAGCTGGCCCTGTTTTCATACTACAAAGATCTGGAATTAGGGACACATTTCATAAAGAATTGCACTGGTAAAGTGAAGAGAATGAGAGGAGAGTTACAAGGGAGTGAAAACACTATCTGGAAAACAGGATGTGAATGAAAGCATGCTGACAAATGAAACAGAAATTGCTGCCTAAAATAATTTCAAGAGAGAAATGCAATGGAATTGGGAATCCATTTTCCAGGTGTTATCTGGATATGGGGTTGGGAGGTGCAGTTTCAAAGTGTGAGGCCAGAATAGAACAGCATTCACTGGCTATCACAATTCATCATTTGCCTCCACCAGTAAAGGCAGTCTTGTGATCACATGCAGGAATAACACTGGGTTCTCACCTCTAAAGAAATTTAACCAACAACCCAGGGAAAATTAACGCTGTTCTAAGAGAAACAAACACACATCTACAACAGAAGAGCTACCAAACGAGCTATCTAGAAAAATCCGCTCAGACCTTCATGCTTGAATATGAAATGACAACTAAGAATCATCAGAGAGAGAACTATAGCAGTAAGAATAGGAAAGAACCAGACAAACACACATAAAAAGGGATACTTAAGGGAATATAATTTGGTAAACCGAGGTACTCCAGCAAGATGTATACAAAAGGTTGGTTGAAACCCAGAAATCAAGTGTTATCAGATAACCACTTAGCTGGGAAGACAGAAAGATTCAGTCTAAATTAGAGCGGTAAATTAGTAGGTTCCTAGTCTTCAAGAACCATTCATTGGATTTTAACCAGTGGAGAGGAATGTAAAGGTGCAAGACCGTAGGAAATACCGTAAATGTTACAGGAAGAAAATCAACAACGCTATTAAAAAAAAAAAGAAAATTTTATCATGAAATCATTTAATAGAAAGCAAAATAAAACATGAAACAACGTTGAGTGTGGTGTTGGAAAAGAGAAGTCACTTATTCATGTTGGTACTTTCCTCTTCCTGGGACAGAGGCCCCGGCTGGGCGCTGGGGACACACAGACCACCCCGTAATCCTTGTCTTTGACGATCTCCCAATACAGTGAGAGGGACAGTCATGGATAAGGGACTCACGGCAGCAACTTCCGATAAGTGGATTCAGAGCCACAGAAGCAGGACACTGAGAAAAAATTTACTTCTAGATTCCCCGGACCCAACCCAGCTACAACTCGGCCTCCACCGTCACCTCCTAAACTTCCTCCTTCGGCCCACAGCACTACGCTATCCCTACGACCTGGACCTGCCCCAACACTAATGCGCACGCGCCAACTCCGGTCCAATCGGAATCCCAAACCCGGTTGCGGGTAGGTGGACTAATCTCGGGGTGGGGCGGGGTCTCGAAGCCGAGAGACGGACGTGATTGGCTGTCTGAGATACACGTTATTGTATAGGCGGAACCTCGCCCTGGGGCTACACACAGCTAGTAAACTGTTCTCCTAATTTGGGAAGGGTCGGGCGCGGGCCCGGGCGGGGCGTGGAGCTGCGCATGGCACCGAGTGCGCCTGCGCCGAGAGTCGGGCCAGGGCGTGTTCCTTGTTTGGGTGCCCCTGCAGCTCCGGCGGAGCGCATCTCTCACCGCCACCGCGCGCCCGGCGCGAACCTGCCGTTTCCACGCCCATCCCGTTAGGTGCTGCTCTCCGCGGTGAGTGCGTGTGGCACTGCATGTGACTGCTTGTCTGCGCGCGGTGTCAGGGGTGCTGGACACCCCCCGCGCCCCTGCCCCGCCCCATCCTGCTGCATGCACCCGTACCTGCCGCTTGATGCTCACTTTCCAGGGCCAGGGGAGGACGAGAGTGCCAGGCAGCGTTCTGTCCAATCTGTTTCTGCACCTCCTGCCCTCACCCACGTGCTTTGTTGTCGTTTGGTACAGGTCATGTCCAAGTCTCTGAAAAAGTTGGTGGAGGAGAGTCGGGAGAAGAACCAGCCGGAAGTGGACATGAGCGACCGCGGCATTTCCAACATGCTGGATGTCAATGGCCTGTGTGAGTTGTTGGGCTGGGCCTTCCCCTTGCAGGAGCTGGGAGGGCTTATAAGTTTTACAACTAACTGCCGGCCATGGTGTGAGAGGTTGTAATGGTTTATATTCCATCCTCTGCTTGTAAACGTCACGTGTCAAGACCTTAGCTCACAAAGTTTACAATCAGAATTTGTTCTCTTTTGACTGGAAAATGAGCATGGGAGCCAGGGTAGGAATCACGCAGACGGCTGCTGCTGTACCTGCCTCGACAGTTGTCTATGCTGATTTATGGCATTCGGGTGGATTGTCCACACAGTTTACTTAATAGCCACTTTATTTTTATTTTTATTTTTTTATCCTCACCTGAGGATATTTTTCCATTTTTTGTACAGATAGGGTGGGAGGGAGAGAGAGGAAGGGAGAGAGAGAAACATCGATGTGAAGGGACACATCGAGTGGCTGCCACCCGCACGACCAACCAGGGCCGGGGACAAACTGCAACAGAAGTACGTGCCCTTAGCGGGAACCGAATCCAGGTCTCTCCGGACCGCAGGCCGACGCTCTAACCGCTGAGCCAAACTGGCCAGGGCGCCACTTTATTTTTTAATTGAAAATCATTTTTGAATTCCTCTTCTTTTCTTCTAACCTAGTCTTTGGCCCTTGAACAAATGCCACACAAATGTTACATGATAAGTGTTCTTGTGCCTGGAGTGTGTTAGACATTTCTTGACTCTCAACCGTTTTCTGGGTGGGTTCTCTGTAGTTCAGGCTTTTGTTATCTCCAGCTTGTGCTATTATGATGTCTTCCTAACTTTCCCTCTTGCCTCCAGTTTTCCTGCCTTTGTGGTTTAGTCAGTATTGCTTTGAGTGCTATTTTTTTCTGTAACACAGGTCTCTTTGTGTTATTTTGTGCTTAAAACCAGGGATTACAGACTCAAAGGCCTGCAGGGTCCAGGTGAGGATGGGCATGAACTCTTTAATAGTATCCTCTCTGCTGCTCAGATCCAAACAATTGTTACCACCTGGGGACATTGGCTCAGTGTTGCTAGATGGTTTTTTTTTTTTTTACGAGACTAAGTGTCCAGATGACATTTACTAATTTTTTGAAGTTGGTGACTCTTTTTTTTTTTTTTTTTTTATCTTCACCCGAGGACATTTTTCCATTTTTTGTTCAGGTAGAGTGGGAGGGAAAGAGAGGAACAGAGAGAAAGAAAGAAACATCGATGTGAAAGGGACACATCGAGTGGCTGCCACCCGCACGACCAACCAGGGCCGGGGACAAACTGCAACCGAGGTACGTGCCCTTAGTGGGAACCGAACCCGGGTCTCTCCAGACCGCAGGCCGACGCTCTAACCGCTGAGCCAAACCGGCCAGGGCAAGTTGGTGACTCTTTTAGGTATTGGAAAAATACTTTATAAAGGTGAAACAAAACACTCTTCAGGCTTACTGTTGCTTCAGTTTGGACTGTCTCACTTAAACACATCTGGCTGTTCATTACCAACAGAAATGCTCTGGTGTCCTTGGCATGATATGCAAGGCCTTCCTGAATCTGACCACAGCCTACTTAGTTCCCTTCCCCTCCGTGCATTTGGCATTCCAGCCATTCTAGTTCATTGCCCTTCCTGAATCAGGGCACACACTTTCAGGTTTGAATGCCTTTGTAAGTATTGTTTCTTCTCTCTCCACTCTTCTTCACCCAGAATACTTTTTACTTTTTATCAAGAATCAGTTCAGACGTCAGAGCCTAGGTAAAGCCTCTGTATGTATCAAGCTGAGATAGTTAATCTTCTCTTCTATGAAGTTAGACATCCCTTGCTTCAGGACTTCTGTTACACAGGATTGTAGTGTGTTCTTTCAAAAAAAAATTTTTTTTTCATTATTAGTTTTTAGAGAGAGAGATAAAATATTGATGAGAGAGAACATCGATTGGCCGCCTCTTGCATGTCCCCCACTGGGGATTGGGCCCACAACCTGGGCATGTGCCCTGACCAGGAATCAAACAGGCAACCTCTTGGTGCACGGGTCAACACTCAACCACTGAGCCACACTGAACAGGCTGTAATGTGTTCTTAATATAGATGTCTCTCTTCCCCCGGAGGGGCTAAAGTTATGCAATATTTATTTGCCTTCATAATGTTGCCTGGAACACAGTAGGTGCTCAAAATAGTTTGATGGATGAAGGAAAGAAAGCTGGATTAGGCCTGTGAATTTATGAGATCCTGACCAGTTTGTGACATGGGAGAAAGGGAGAGGTCCAGGAGACCCGAAAAGATGATGGATTGCTTGTTAGGTGTGGGGAGAGCAGAGTCAGATTTACTGTGACTCCATTGTTTGTGCCTGGGACAGAGATGGGGGTTGGTGCCATTGATATGTCTCCCAAAAGGAGATGAAAAGTTGTAGACTCTTAGGAAGATACCTGCCATTAAGCTTAGCTTCTGTTCTAATGAGCATCTTAGCCCCCTGGTATGTGTTGACCTCTCTCAGTGGTGATGGCTTCTTGGCAGCAACAGAGCAGGTGTCTCTGGTACTGAGTTGGCACTTGTAGATCTGGGTGACCCCGAGCTGCCCCTGCCTGGTTCTGCAGTGAGCCCGGCGATCACTGGGGACACTGCTGCAATAGGAGGAGGTAGAGAGCGACCAGAAGGAGGCCTGGCTCCACTGTACTCTTGGCCCCATGGCTTTCTGCTCCTTGGCACCCTTTTCCTCTTGGGCTTGAAGAAAGAGGATTGCTTTTAGCAGAAGAACATTATACTTCTCAGCTTCGAAGAGGGTTTTTCTGTAATAGTTATACGTAGGGAGAGTGGTATAGCTATTTCAGTTCAGTTGCATTATCTCTTTGAGGCCTTGGCTTTTACTGAAGAAAAGATAGCCACTTAGCTTCCTGAAAAAGATGTTTCCGGTGTAATATGAGGTGGTGGAAAGTAAGATCATTCTTAAATTTCCCTAGAGAATTAGCTTAAGGAAGAACATACTTCCTGGGGGGTTCATTGGACATGAATGTGGCCTCTGTAGCAGAGCTTGCTGCCCTAACTCCCTGACTTCTGGACGGCTGGAGCTGGAAGGGTCCGGAATGCCTCCAGAAGCCCATTCCTCAGCTGGAATTCATTTACCAGTGGTGCACATAATGCTTACTATATGTATTTTAATATTTTATATATTCAGATATTTGACATGGTTATATTAATTGCAGTATAAGACGTCCCATATTCTTTTACTTATAACATTTTTTTTTTAATCTTTACTCAAAGACATTCTTGCATTTATCTTCAGCTAGAGCAGGAGGGAGAGAGGGAGAAAGAGAGAGAGAGAAACATCGATGTGAGAGAGACACATTGAATAGTTGCACCCACAAGACCCCAACCAGGCCTGGGGACAAACTGCAACCGAGGTACATGACCTTAGTGGGAACCGAACCCGGGATTCTCTGGTCTGTGGGCTGACGCTCTAACTGCTGAACCAAACTGGCCAGGGCTCTTTTACTTATAACATTTTAATTGTTGTGAGATTTTATGGGATAGTGTTAAGATTAAACACAGGTAATAGTTCATTTGCATGACAGAGAATGGTTATTGTGTCTCATACTTTCCCTTCATTGCCCTTATGTTTTTCAAGTTCTCGAAAGATAAGCAAGAATTAACTTCTGAGGATAATGAATATTTTGTATTTACTGTCATCATTTAAAATGTCCATCTTTTGCCCTGGCTGGTTTGGCTCAGCGGTTGGAGCATCGGCCTGCGGTCCGGAGAGACCCCGGTTCGGTTCCCGCTAAGGGCGTGTACCTTGGTTGCAGTTTGTCCCCGTCCCTGGTTGGGTTGTGCGGGGGGCGACCGCTCGGTGTGTCCCTGTCACGTCGATGTTTCTCTCTCTCTCTCCCTTCCACACTATCTGAACAAAAAAATGGAAAAATGTCCTCAGGTGAGGATTAAAAAAAAAAAGTCCATCTTTCTGCTTGAGAGAGTTGTGCCTTATAAGCACAGCACTTTCTCTGAGACAGTAATTGCCTTTAAAAAATGTTTTCAGGCCCGGCCTGTGTGGCCCAGTGGTTGAGCATCAACCCAGGCACCAAGAGATTGCTGGTTCAATTCCTGGTCAGAGCACATGCCCAGGTTGTGGGCCTGATCCCTAGTGAGGGGCATGCAGGAAGCGATCAGTCGATGTACTCTCTCTAGTTTCTCTCTCTCTAGTGTCAATAAAGAAAAATAACACTTTAAAAATGTTTTCAGGACCTTAGGTGCCAAAAGCTTTCTGATAGAGAAAAATTCCTAGGCCAGAGACATCAAGCAGATAGGTTTAGAGTTTTCTGCCAGATTCCGGACATGGTCAGATCCTTCCCTGAAAGGCAGAAGAGTTCAGTGCTTGGTCGTGGGGCCTTGGAGTGGAATAAAGTGGCTTCAAACTCACCATCTTCTACTTACTGCTGTGAAACTTTAGAGAAACTACTTAACCTCTCTGAGCCTCAGTTGCCTCTTCAAATGGAGACGTAAGTACCCATTTGATAGGATTGGTTTAGCACTAAGTGCATTGATACATGTCAACTGCTGAGCACTGTGCCTGCTACTGAGTGCACATGAAATATTAACTATTAATGGGAAGTTCCAGGTAGAACTTGGTAAGCCTCAGATGTCACCAGTCCCACCATGGTGGCCTGAACCAGACTAGCATGGTTAATTAGACTGGGTGAGGCATTTGTGTCCTGTGTTCATGTTTTTATGTGGCTTATGAAGACCTGGAGGGTTTGACACTTTTGCCTAAGATTGTTATAGATTTAGATTGCTATTTTTTTCTTAATTATCCCCAATTTTTTCTTTTCCTTCAATTACTTTTCTATATGACGTGTAATCTGTACACATGTTCTCCTTAAAACTTCCAAGACTAATGACACTGATTTTGTTCTTTTTATTAAAGAAATTTCACTGCAGAAACTCTCCCACACAGCAGCTGTCTTCATCTGGATGATAAAGTTACTTTTGAAGGGTCCTGTAATCAGCTTCTGGGAGCCAAGAATCCCATCAGTAGCCAGGAAG